AAAAAATTAACTTAAATGATTTTAGCAAATGGCTGCAATATAACAAAGAGTGAAAAATTTAAGGGGGTCTGAATACTTTCCGTACCCACTGTATATGTATATATATATATAGATATATATATATCGATGTGGCATTGCTATAAAGACAGCCCAATAAAGCTAAAATTGAACAAAGACAAAAGTGATTTCCAACCACATTTCTACCATGTTGATCTAAGTTGTACTGCCTTTAAGAAATGCAGATTTTAATTACCTTTTTTTTTTTACTATTATATAGAAATACAGTATAAAATCTGCATAACTTAAAGGCAATACAACAAACTGATCTGATAGGTGACGTGTGATGTTCATTAAAGGGTAAATCTGTGTCACCTGCTCTGTGATGCGCATGTGGAAGTCGTGGAAATCGCTGTAGCGGCGGTACGTCTTCCAGATGTCCTCGCTGCCGTCAGAGTTCTTGCGTATGACGGTGAGGGTATAGAGGGCGTACGTCTTCCCGTGATCGTTACACACGCCTGCCACAGGAAGTAGGTTTAGAAAAGCATCAGCTACAGCACACCGGGAGAGAGAGGCAGGAGCGATGGGAACGATGGCAGGGGAAAGAGAACGAGAACCACAAGAAAGACACAGCAGAGAGAGGACAACAAGACAAACGACAGAGGGACAGAGGAAAAAAAGATGAACGTAAGAAAATAAAGAAATAAATCTGATGAAATGATAGTCACAACAAGAACAAACACAAAGTGGCAGGAAAAGTGTTGCTCCTTCAAATAACTGAAGCTTGAAAATGAGAAGAAGTGATGACTAGAGAAGAGAGGAAAGTTCACCAGCACACACACTGAACAGCTCATTAAATCACACACAGACAATTACCATTTTCATGAGTCATTACTAACACTCAATTAAACAGTTTAACATTTCAAAGAATCTAAATGAATAAAAGTAGAACTTGGGCACTTTTTTAGAGCGGTCATATTTCACCTCAAAATCAAACAGGAAAAATAAATTACATAAATTGCATAAAGAAACTTAAGCTTATTTTAGGACAGTTGTGATGTTTGTGACATTATTTTCATTACTTCCCAATAGGGTTGTGCGATATTAAAGAAAAATGCGACATGCGATAACTCATTAAATAATGCAATATTCGATATGCGATACGATAATGCTTAAAGTGCCACATGCTCAGATGAAAACTTCTATAACTATCTTGTGTCATATATATATATATATATATATGGTTATTTGTATGTATGTATGTACTAAGAGTTCCTGTAAAACCACAACAAATTCAATTTGTGTGCGCACACTTAAGTGGTGAATAAAGCTCATATATTCGTGTGTGTGTGTGTGTATAATATATTTATATATAATCTATATTTTTCGCCTTATAATTAAAAAATAGTAGAAATTAAAATACAACAAATACTAAATGATATATAAATTTATAATTTATAAACATTTATAATTTAACACATACTTAATACATAGCTTTTTGCAAAACAATAATGAGAATTGGGAGGAGCCTAAAATTGGCTTCACCTACACAGGGTTTCTGCAGACTTGAACAAGATAAATTTAAGACTTTTTAAGACCTTTTTAATACCACCTTATATGAAATTTAATCGTGGACAGCTGACTTCTAAAGTTTTTGATATTCTTCATATTCTGCATGGTGGTCAGATAAGTTTAAATAGATTTTTACCTTTTATGGGCATTTTACCTTTATAAAGCCATTTTTCTATAAGTGTGCATTATCTTTTGAGTCAAATTCTTAAATTTAATCAGTGAATAAGAATAAGACATTTGGGCTGTTACCAGGCATTTTATCTTTATAAAGCCATTTTTCTATAAGTGTGCATTATCTTTTGAGTCAAATTCTTACATTTAATCAGCGAGTAAGAATAAGACATTTGGGCTGTTACCAAGCAAATGAAATCAGTATCAACAAAATTCATCTTTGCAATCCAGACACAAGTTGCATCTGAAGTGGCATTTAGATGTGTTTACACACTGTTTAATGCAGGACAAGAATGCATTTAACCTGCAGTTACAAATGCATAAATAATGTTTTGATATATTAAACATAAAACATTGAATACTGATATTTGAAATAATTTAAAAAATGAAAAGATACTTTAAATGCGAAATTAAAACCACCAGTAGGTGGCAGTAAGTCACTGTCAATAAGCGAGTCACTGCGAATGAACCGAATCATTTAAACAGTTGATTCATTCAGGAACGAAACACCGTCATGTTGCTCAGAGACACAAAACAGCGCTGTGGCTTTATTTGGAATTATTTTTGTTGGCGAAATAGTGCAAAAACAGGCAATATGGTGTCTAAAACGTAAGTCTCTTAATAAAACGTACAGTTTATTGAACTGTTGTAAAAAATCAATATCACATTTGTATATAGTAATTTTTGGAGAAAAAAAGGCACTCTTCCGTGTGAACTTGAGTATAAATATACACATTTTCTGCCCCCATGTCTTGAATTTGTGATCATTCCGAATGTATTTTAATAGACTGAATCATGCAGTGATCAGGCAGAGCGCACTAAAAATGCGCACGCGCACTATACTTCATGTAACGCGTGCGCTCTGTAGGTGTTTTGAATGTTTGTTTGCTTTGCGTTATGAGAATATTGAGTAAAATAGCTCACTTGTCATGGTGTTATTTAACTATATCATGTTATGAATAAACTAAACATTTAGAATTTTTACCTCAGTGTGTTTCTTCTGAGTTTATGTGTGCGGTCACGCTCATCTGTTCTGAAGTCTCGAGACAAACAGAGTGAGCCTCAGCGCGAGCTTGTGTTCTGTATTCTGCAGTTCTCTCTGATGATCGCAGTAACTTACCGCGGGTCTTTCCACTGATTGTAAAGTCATTAGGTCCGTCACACTTAAGATATTTTAGCGGTAATGAGACCAAAAATATTTAAGACCCATCGAATCCGAATTTAAGACATTTTAAGACTTTTTAAGGCCTTATATTAGGAAAACGTTATTTAAGACAGTTTAAGGCTTTTTAAGGACCCGCGGACACCCTACTACAGAAGAAGTGAGTATAAGATTTTTTTTTATGAATCTTTGCAAATCACCTTTCCTAATAGTGTGCTAGTTAGCAAGTTCCGCGATTAATGCGGCCAAAGTTTACAGTCTCATGAGAACGGCTTGTCACCCCACGGAAGAGAGGGGCGGGGTGAGCAGAGCTCATTAGCATTTAAAGGGACATGCACCGAAACGGCTCGCTGTGAGCAGAGCTGTTTTTGAGAAGGAAAAAAGGGTGTTGTTTTACATTACCATTGACAAATTTTAACCAAAGTATGTTATAGACTTTTCATTAAGACCCTAAAGAATCATATCAACTTGTGGAAAATTGGCATCCGATGACCCCTTTAATTATCTTTGAGCATAACAAAATGTGCATTTTTTTTCTTCTTTTGATATTAAGGTGAAATGATTTTTTTTTTTTATATATTATTACACCATGTTGTACCCAGGTAAAATGCAATAAAGACACATGCAATTAACCACATTTCTACCATGTTGAGCTAAGCTATTGTCTAGTCATTATAAGCAATAAAAAAAACAAAAACCCCTTTTTGATGGTCATTTTCATTGAGGACAGAAAACACTGTGCCTGGTAAGGACATAGTGCTGAACTTTAAACTGTACAGTATTTATCTACTGAAATGATTAACAGCAGGTAAAACTCTCACCCGTATCAGAGATAAAGGCATGAAGCTGAGCAGACTCGTCCACGCTTCCGCTGCTGAGATCATCTAATGACTACAAAACACAATCATTTGAAACAATCATACACACTTAAACACGCCTGATGTATGTAAATATAACATATGAATGGCTTTATTTGACATACTAAATTAATGCTTCCTGTTGGAGACCCGTTGAACGACTCTGGAGAAACAGAGAAATATGAATGAATTTTAGGAGATGATGTGTAAACAGACTCATCTGGTAGCGTGTGTGTTCGTCACCTCCGTCCCCGTGGTCTGACCCCATGTAACTGGGCTCTTTCAGCATGTCCAGCTCGGCCAGCATCCGCACATACAGCGGGTGCTGCTTAAACGACGGGTAAAACCTCTCATCCCGCAACATCATATCATACACCTGAGGAACACAGACAGCTAATATAGTGGGCTTTTTATTGGATATATTGGTCGAAATAGGCCTGCATGATAAACCGTCAAAAATCTCAAATTCTCATTGTATAATATGGAAAAAGTTAATTAATTAAAAAAATTACACTTGCATACACTACTGTTCAAAACTACTGTTTAGATCGGTAAGAGTTTTTTAAATCAAGTCTCTTTTGCTCATCAAGGCTACATTTATTTGATCAAAAATATTTTATCATTTAAAATAACTTTTCTATGTGAATATATGTTGAAATTTTATTCAAAACTGAATTGTCAGCATAATTTCACCCGTCTTCAGTGTCACATGATCCTTCACAAATCATTCTAATATGCTGATTTTCTGCTCAAGAAACATTTCTGATTATTATCAGTGTTAAAGTGACTTGAGGAAATTTACAGTCCATGAATATTTTTACTGGCCTTTAATTATCTTTTCTTTATAATACTACTGAACTGCAAAGAAGTTCATAATACATTTTAATTGAATAATTATTATTATAATTAATATTGTTATTATAATTAATTATTTTAATTTTATATCAGTTCAATCATGACAACTCTCTAAAGATTTTAACATGGTGATGGATATGACAATGTTAATGTATTTGGTCTTGGCGGAACAGATCTGCTACGCTGCTGCTGAATTGCTGCTGCTGTTGGTTATTGCTGTAGTTGTAGATTATCGCTGCTGCTGCAAGCAAGTACAGGAATTTGCTACTGCCAATGCATATGGTGATACAGTGCCTTGAGTATTTAAGACATACTGCTGCTGCACAAATAGCATATAAAATAACTCGTAGCAGATCTATACAGGTGGAGCTGGGGAAGGCGGAGGGTTTCAGAGAACTCTGAAAGCGCGCTGCAGGAATATCTAGTGAATGCTAGCCAGCCATCTAAATCCAAGGCAGTAAACTCATTGGCTGCATATGCAGCTTGAACCAATCAGCTTGTGCCAAGTCATTTAACTCTCTGAATATCATCAGTTACGTTAAAACCCCGTCAGCCCGCGCAATCTAGAGTTTCATGACTGAACTATATATTAAAATTACAATACTAATATTTATTGTTGCTTTTTTCGTTGCTTTCAAATATTAAACCACTGAGCTTTTATTTTGGCAGAAAAACACAGGGAAACTTCTCTGGTTTGAAATGCTTCACTTTTGTTGACAACAGATTTATAAATGCTTCTCATTACAAACTTGTGAAGATGTTTGGCGCATGTTACATTTTCAAATGCGCACTATAAGCGACTCAAACTCACAGCACTTGCAGAGATGGAGTTTGACTCGGAAAACACTGTTATCATGAGCGGCTCACGTGAAAAGATCACAGCACTTCACTCTGATATCTTTGCAATCTGATAGTTGTGCTAAACCATATTACGTTCATATATGCTCAAAGGAACATCAGTCATTACCTTTTTCTGGATTTCATCAAATATCTCAGGTGTGGGATCCTCTTTGTTGAGTTTCTGAGCCAGTCTGGTTACAGACGCTTCGTCCACCTCCACCCTAGGAGAGGCCTGAGTGGAAATAAGCCTGTCAAGCATCACTTCATGGACCCTTTACTCATTCTTACTGGTAAATCTCAATCCTCTCACCTTCTCTGACAGGTACTGGTCGTAGACGCCGAGCGCAGCGGCTCTCAGCAGGCCTTTGGTGGTCTGGCTGCTCTGCCTCTTCCCGTCTCTCTGGCTGCTCTGTAAGACCTCCAGCTGCTGCTGGGCCGTGACCCGATAGCCCTCCACCGTCAGCCAGAAGAACAGGATCGCCTGGCCGCCCATGGGCTGCATGTAGTCTAGAGACAGAGAGAGATTAAAGGTATTGAGGAATGATATCTAAAGAGAGGACAGTTTGTGTGCATCCGCCTCGACTCACCCATGAAGAACTGCAGCGCGATGTTGTGCACTAATATATGTTCCAACGGAATCACACACAGCTTCCCAAAATTAGCTGCGAGTTTCAATGCGTCAACTTCCTGTTCGGAAAAAAAACAACCAAACGTGTTAAAAAGACATACTGGCAGGTGAAATGTTCATTGTCAGACAACCGATTAATCGCTGTTAAAACCTGAAATAATTTTTTTTTTAAGTACAAGTCAATTTTATTATGTATTTTATAATGTTTTTGAGAAACCGTTATTTCTGTAATAAACATCATTATTAATAACAGTAATTAATTATATTGGAACATACAAAAATAACTGTTTGCAACACTATAATAACATAATACTGTTATTAATAATAATAATAGTCATTTCTGTATTTTCCAAAAATATTCTTATTAATAATAGTAATTAATTATATTAATTGTCTGTATACTTTTCTGTAATAATTAACTGATAATTAATAAAACTTACATAATACAATGAATATTTTATTTATATTAATTATAAGTATATAATTTAATAATACATTTGTTATACATTCTTATTTAGATAGTATTACAGTTTTTATTAATATTTTGAATTACTTTTTATTTTTAAACTTTCCATTTTCTTTTTAATTTTAAAGTGTTAGTAATTTTTTTTATTATTAGATACTGTATAGCTTTTATTAATTTATATTTCAGTTTTAGTTATTAAAGTACATCAAGTCAAATAAAATTAAAATGAGAAGCAGATAAAATATAGTTTGTTTGTTTTTGTTTTTATTTCAGTTCAATCTTATTTCAAGAAATTTTAGTTTCAGTTAAGTATAACACTGATTAAGAGGAATTACTTCATATGTTTAATTTACACTATTGTCAATGATAAATTTATCATTATTGAAAAGAAATTGAAATTCCTAGCAAATATAAATGTTTTTAATGAATATTCATGTATTATAAGAAAGCAAATGTGAATGAAACAGGAGAGATTTGTTTACCTTCCCTGATTGTAGCCGTTGTATCCGTGTTTCACAGACTTTCTTCACAAAGAGCAAACTATTGATTTGATTCTTTATGAAGTTGATATCTGTGAGTGTGGAGAGAGAGAGAATGAAGAGTATACAGTGTTTTATTATTATAAAGCCTTGAACTTGATCTCAAATTTTCCAAAACAAACCCCGGAATTCATTGTTTATTTTCCAACCGAATGAAAAAACACTTAACACTTAAGCGTAAGTGTGTAAACATGAGTGAGCGCGTGTACCGTCTCCTCCCGTGTCCAGAGATCGGAGGTACTGAAGCTCCTCCAGGACTTTGTCTCTGACGGCCTCCAGCTCGGCCGCCTTGTCTGTCAGCTTTAAGATGTTCAAGAAGGCCTCGTAGTTACAGCTGGAGTCACGAATCTAAACACACACACAAAACTTCTTAAAGGTAATTCATGACACGCTCTTGGACTGTAAGAAGCGAGCAGGCCTCACCATCCAGATGATGAACTGGTTGATGTAATCAGGGTCACTCAGCTGGTTAATTAAGGGCAGCAGAACTCCTCTGGCCAAAACTTCCTGCAGGACATCAGAGAATCAATCAGTTAATCAACATCAAGTTTGTTCATGTGCAAGACACCGAGTCTGGAGCTCTAATCTAGTAGTCTCAACATCAAGACCCGTCAGGACCACATAAACCAAAAGTCCTGATCTTAGAGCAGAACCCACGTGTCTGCTTTCCATAAATCCCAGATCTAGTGTCTTAAAGGAATGTTCTGTGTTACATACAACTTAAGCTCCATCAACATCTTTTGTGGTATGATGTCAATTACCACAGAGAATAATTTAGACATTTTTCTAATTGCATTTTATAGGAAAATTTGCAGTAGTTTAAATTATAATAAATTTTATTTGATATAATATAGTATTAATTAATATTTTACTTTTCCATTTTTTATTATTTTATTTATTTTTATTAATATTATTTTAAGTTTTAGTAATTTTGCGGTGTTTGTAATTTTTTTTATTTCTATTTAGCTTTATTATTTCAGTATTAGTAATTTAGTATTTATATTTCAATTAGTTGCCAAGGCAACATTTCCATTTCCATTTTTCATATTTCTATTTAGCTTTATTTTACTTTTAGTTTTAGAAATGTTAATACTTAAACTTTTTTATTTCAATTAGTTGCCAAGGCAACATTTACATATTTTTAAGTTTTTAGGTTTAAGTTTTTCATCTTATTTTTTCTTTTAGCTTTATAAAGGCATTAAAAACTGCAGACTGAAAATGTTTTAAGAGCAGTGTTATTTTACTATTGAATTATAGCTTTTATTAAGATTTTGAATCAATGTTTATTTTTATATTTTCCATTTTCATTTCAATTCAAGTTTTTAGGTTTCAGTTTTTCATCTTATATTTTATTTTAGCTTTATTTCAAATAACAAAAACTATTTTTAACAGTTTTAATTTTGCTCTCATTGCAACGGAAGGCAGAGGAACAAGGTTACAGGTCTTAATAGGTTGGCATAACAATAATACATGGTTTTCTCCACATAAACTGTGCTTTACAGTTTTCATCCCTTTTTTAGCTGACCAAAGATACGTTTTGGGGACTGATTTAGCATGTGTGAGTGTCTCACCCTGAGGAAGTATCTCATATTCTTGTTGTGGAAATCTCCAGGAGGTAGCAACAGGTACAGCAGCACTTCACAGAGATCCCGCAGGTAACCTGCACCAAAAAACACTGTAAAACACAGTGTTTTGCCTCTGAAATGTGCAGAGCCCGCACACATTTAATTAAATCATTGCCTTTTGAAGTTTATCAAATCACATTTGGCCTTATTCATGCTTTTCCATCCAAATTTCAAAATTTAAGACATCTAAAACTGATCATTAATTTTTTTTATACCATTTAAGACTTTTTATGTCCTTAAATTTCATAACTTTTTTTTAAGGATTCACAGAAACCATAGAATCTACTTTTATGGTGTTTTTTTGTGTGTGAGCGAGCAGGCCTCACCATCCAGATGATGAACTGGTTGATGTAATCAGGGTCACTCAGCTGGTTAATTAAGGGCAGCAGAACTCCTCTGGCCAAAACTTCCTGCAGGACATCAGAGAATCAATCAGTTAATCAACATCAAGTTTGTTCATGTGCAAGACACCGAGTCTGGAGCTCTAATCTAGTAGTCTCAACATCAAGACCCGTCAGGACCACATAAACCAAAAGTCCTGATCTTAGAGCAGAACCCGCGTGTCTGCTTTCCATAAATCCCAGATCTAGTGTCTTAAAGGAATGTTCTGTGTTACATACAACTTAAGCTCTATCAACATCTTTTGTGGTATGATGTCAATTACCACAGAGAATAATTTAGACATTTTTCTAATTGCATTTTATAGGAAAATTTGCAGTAGTTTAAATTATAATAAATTTTATTTGATATATTATAGTATTAATTAATATTTTACTTTTCCATTTTTTATTATTTTATTTATTTTTATTAATATTATTTTAAGTTTTAGTAATTTTGCGGTGTTTGTAATTTTTTTTATTTCTATTTAGCTTTATTATTTCAGTATTAGTAATTTAGTATTTATATTTCAATTAGTTGCCAAGGCAACATTTCCATTTTTCATATTTCTATTTAGCTTTATTTTACTTTTAGTTTTAGAAATGTTAATACTTAAACTTTTTTATTTCAATTAGTTGCCAAGGCAACATTTACATATTTTTAAGTTTTTAGGTTTAAGTTTTTCATCTTATTTGTTCTTTTAGCTTTATAAAGGCATTAAAAACTGCAGACTGAAAATGTTTTAAGAGCAGTGTTATTTTACTATTGAATTATAGCTTTTATTAAGATTTTGAATCAATGTTTATTTTTATATTTTCCATTTTCATTTCAATTCAAGTTTTTAGGTTTCAGTTTTTCATCTTATATTTTATTTTAGCTTTATTTCAAATAACAAAAACTATTTTTAACAGTTTTAATTTTGCTCTCATTGCAACGGAAGGCAGAGGAACAAGGTTACAGGTCTTAATAGGTTGGCATAACAATAATACATGGTTTTCTCCACATAAACTGTGCTTTACAGTTTTCATCCCTTTTTTAGCTGACCAAAGATACGTTTTGGGGACTGATTTAGCATGTGTGAGTGTCTCACCCTGAGGAAGTATCTCATATTCTTGTTGTGGAAATCTCCAGGAGGTAGCAACAGGTACAGCAGCACTTCACAGAGATCCCGCAGGTAACCTGCACCAAAAAACACTGTAAAACACAGTGTTTTGCCTCTGAAATGTGCAGAGCCCGCACACATTTAATTAAATCATTGCCTTTTGAAGTTTATCAAATCACATTTGGCCTTATTCATGCTTTTCTGTAGGGATAATACAATAAGTCCCCTATGAACAGCATATGTGAATATTATATCAAATTTATGCTTTAAAATCATAGCAGTTTTCATCCATAGCATTTCCATTTAAATGTCTGCGTTTAGCTTCAAATGGCGTCTTTGACGACAGTATTCTATAAAAATTATTTGCATTCAGATCTTGACATCAAAAGGCACAAATATTTTTTTTTCTTTTATTCCATGGATTTTACCCATTTACCTCCACTTGTTCCCAGTGTTTTTCTGCAACCACTATGCGCGCGCAGCTGCAAGTGACGTAACTGTGACGTCTACTCTGAATTGGTCTATAGGTTTAGTCCTGATATTGAGATCTTTACATCACGTCCTAATCAGCTGTGATGCAATAAAAACCTCTAGGTTGCTCTACTCACTCGTCTGACTCTATTTTACGAGGTTAGATAACCCACAAATAAAACAACAACATTCTCATTCCTCAAAACATCTACTCCAGCATTCCTCAGAAGAATTAAAGTTAAATGGGTTCGAAAAGACATGAGTGAGCAAATGATGACATTTTTACTTTTTGCTTCATTACAGTTACACTTTACAATCTGCTTTCATTTGTTAACACTCAGTCAACATGAAATAACAATCAGGGTTATTTTAGTATAATTGAGATACTGTTACAGTAATGTATATTACTATTTTGATTTAGCGTTTATTTTAATATTTTACAGCTTTGATTTTAATTATAATTCATTTTTAATTAAGTAATTCATTTTAGTTCAAATTAGTACTTAATTGTGTGTTTGTCATTTTTATTATTTATTTATTTTTAATACGTCTACATAGTTTTCATTGATTTTTATTGCAGTTTTAGTTTAGTTATATTAATTCACCAAGATAAACTAAATGAAAATGAGAAATGTTTATTTGGCAACCAGTTGAAATTAAGTAAGTTTAAGTTTTTTATATTAAATTTTTTTTTTCACTGTTATTTTCACTGTTTTTTGTTTTAGTTATAAAAAGTAACCCTGCAAACAATGAAAACGATTTCTGAAGCATTTATTAATCTTAGTTAAACTTATTTTAAAGGGGTCATATGATGCGATTTCATTTTTTCCTTTCTCTTTGGAGTGTTACAAGCTCTTGGTGCATAAAGAAGATCTGTAAAGTTGCAAAGACTAAAGTCTCAAATCCAAAGAGATATTCTTTATAAAAGTTAAGAGTTAACCACACCTACCTAAAACGGCTCGTTCGAACACGCCCCCACATGTCTACCTCACTATGTGGGAAGATTTGCATAACACCGCCCAATCCTATGAAATCCCATTTATTTTTTCAAATTCCATTCTTTGTTTTTGTTTTTTTTCAATTTATCTGAATTTTTCTTTTTTGTCAATTTTATTTTTTAGACTTCATTTTAATGATTAAATTCAAAAGCAAGTCTAATTTAAATTATGAGTCTATTAATAGTATATATATTTTTTTAAATAGGCATTTATAAATGTGTTTTATTTTTTTCTCAAATTCTGTGTTCTTTATTTTAATTTTTCTGGATTCCATTTCAATAGTAATTAAAGTTGAACAATCAATTTTAGTACTACTACTACTACTACTACTATTATTATTATTATTAAACTGAGATATTTCTGTGAAATAGTAATTTGTCACAATTTCTTCAAGTTAAACTGAACTTTTATTTCCTATGAAAACCTGAGTTTCTGTATGCATATTATATGATGATAGTTTTTCTCAAATTAAACTGCAAAATGCTCATGAAGACTAACACATATAAAATAACACACAATAACATGATAAAATAACACAGAATTTCCTTTGTAAAAACTGTTTAAGTTTTATTTATTAAATTCAGTAAACCATTAAAAGGGAAACTAGAAAAAAATTAATGGAAAGCACAGAATTTGGGAAAAATAAAACTGAATTTGGGAAAAAATTATCTGGATTTCATACGGCCTCACAAGGAAATGTATTTTTCTGGATCATGTGCTCTCGGTTCTTTTTGGCACAGACACAATGACCCATCACTGCTATGGCAAAGGACTCTGGGTAGACATTCCAGAGCAGATGTGATGCTCGGCAGAACAGACTGAGAGTTGGAGCTGCTGACGCATTCTCATGACTGTCTTTAACGTAACGCAATTTCCTCAAAACCTCAGACTTACACAGGATGAGTTACACAATGATTTCACTCATAAAGAGGTCTTATACCATGGGATGAGATTTTAATGCGGTCACATGGAAAAACCGGATACTTATCGGTCTTTTCTCACGTCTACAAGTCTCTCCAGTCCACCCAGACCAGTTACTGTAACTAAACCACAAAAAACAGGAACCATTTTTGAACACATCAGCCTTGCTCCAAAAACCTAGACTGCTGCCTACCAAGACAACATTTTTGGGCAACACCCTCCACATGGAGGCTGTTCAAAACAGTAGGTAACACCATGCTGTCTTGTTATAGTTCATTTGTCCAAGGCAGCACCAAATGCATTCTTGCAGATTACCACCGCTTTTGATAATAAATGTGTACTAAATAATAAATCCAGAAAAACTAAAACAGGTAACTGAGAATTCAGAAAAATATTTTTATAAAATAATTTTATAGGGCTCCAATATTTTTTAAAATGTTAAATTATTATGAATTATTAAATTAAAAGTAATTATTAAATTGAATGTAATTATTAAACTATTATATTTAAAGGGGTCATATGACGTTGCTAAAAAAACATTATTTTGTGTATTTGGTGTAATGAAATGTGTTTATGCGGTTTAAGGTAAAAAAAAAAAAACACATTATTTTCCACATACTGTACATTATTGTTTCTCCTCTATGCCCCGCCTTTCTGAAACACGTCGATTTTTACAAAGCTCATCGTTCTGAAAAACGAGGTGTGCTCTGATTGGCCAGCTATCCAGTGCGTTGTGATTGGCCGAATACTTCAAGCGCGTGACGGAAATGTTACGCCACTTTCCATACTGTGATGCCATGTCCCAGCGCAACGAGACAAAACCAATAAAACCCATTACAAATGAGGCATTTGTAGCATCCAGTAGGGACATAATTATTGATTATAATGACTTATACTGTCTTTTTACGCGTTGCGTTGCATAAACATAAAACCATGTCTGCATTTGTGATTGGAGAAATGGCAAACAACAAGCGCTACTCTACACTGCTCAAAACTCGCGTTTGAATAATCAGTGTCAAATCCTTTAAATATGAAAACGTACTTACATGCTGTGAGTCAGCATTATTTGTCAGAACAGCTGGCATTGTAGTCTACTCTCCCAGGAAACAGTCCTTGTCCTCTGTAAAATGCACTGCACACATCTGAATATTTGGTTGAAGT